CGCACAACAGAAGTTGGCAATGGTCTCGAGTCGGAGAGTTAGAGAGCAGGACAGACCACTTCAAAATGGCAATCACGTGGGAAGCTACGTAAAAGCTTGTCTCACAACATTCAATGATATTACAGGTGCCATTAACTTAATGAGTTTAAAGCAAAACAAGTTTAAATGGTGCAAAATCAAACAAGGACTTACTGTAATAAAATATTTCAGGTTATTTCACTATATAAAAAAAAATTGAGTCACATTGGGCAACATAAGGTCTTGTGATCAAAACTTTGGCCAAAGATGCAGATTTTAAATCTTAAAGGGGAAACGCAGTGCAAGGAGACAGAGAATTCAAGTGAAGGTATTCTAGAGCTAAGAACATGGGCAACTGATGGTACAGCCACCAAAGGTGGTACAATTAAAATTGAGGTTGCTCAAGAGGCCAAAATTAAAGCAACACAAATACAGAGAATGCTGGAGAAACTCAGCAGGTCTGGCAGCCTCTGTGTGGACAGCAAGAATTAACATTTTGAGTTCAGTAGGATTCTTCTTCAGAATGAGTTTCACCAGCATTCTCAGTGTTTGTTTCGGACCTCCAGCAACAACAGGGGTTGGGTCAAGGACCTTAGAGGTGAACGGAAGGTTGAAGGTCAGATGGCACTAGACTTCTAAGGCAAGGCAGACCAAAACCAAGAGATGGACAGGATACAGTATTGTGAAGGATATTGGTCAAGGTTGATCAGGACCAAACAGAAACAGGGGCTCACAGACAGGACGAGCACAGAGAGAAGATAGGAGATAAGCTGTGCATTCAGGACTTACATGGGGGGAGAATATCATGGAATTGTTATGGTGCAGGAGAAGGCCCATTGTGACTACACTGGCTCTCAGAATGAGTCATGACTTAGTACCATTCCCTTGCCTTGCTGCATAAGCACATTTTTCTATTAACACCACAAAACATAGGATCAAGAATAGGCTATCTGGCCCATTAAGTCTGCTCCACTACTTAATGGAGGGTTGAGAGTCTCTGGAACTCCTTGTCATAGAAAGCTGTAGGGGTGGAGTCCTTGTGCATATTTAACTACTCCACAGCTGATCTGATTATCTTCAAGACAACAAGGTGCAGAGCTGGATGAACATAGCAGGCCAAGCAGCATCATAGGAGCAAAAAGGCTGACGTTTCCAGCCTAGACCCTTCATCAGAAATGGGGAAGGGGGTTCTGAAATAAATAGGGAGAGAGGGGGAGGCGGATAGAAGATGGATAGAGGAGAAGATAGGTGGTGCAGTGGGAGAGAGATCCCCTGAGGTTTGTCCGTAGGGAGGAGGGTAACTTCTTCAGGCTAGGCATCCTTAGAAGAGGCTTCGCAGTGGGGTTAAAATTGAATCAGAGATAGTAGGAACTACAGATGCTGGAGAATCCGAGACAACAAGGTGCAAAGCTGGATGAACACAGCAGGCCAAGCAGCATCATAGTTCCTACTATCTGATTCAATTTTAACCCCACTGCGAAGCCTCTTCTAAGGATGCCTAGCCTGAAGTTACCCTCCTCCCTACAGACAAACCTCAGGGGATCTCTCTCCCACTGCACCACCTAGCCTCTCCTCTATCCGCCTCCCCCTCTCTCTATTTATTTCAGAACCCCCTTCCCCTCCCCCATTTCTGATGAAGGGTCTAGGCCCGAAACGTCAGCCTTTTTGCTCCTATGATGCTGCTTGGCCTGCTGTGTTCATCCAGCTCTACACCTTGTTGTCTCGGATTCTCCAGCATCTGCAGTTCCTACTATCTCTGATTATCTTCAACTCCAGTTTCCTGCCTTCGCCTTAAAATCTTGCGCATTATTTCTCTTCAGTAGTCTTAGAAAGACTGGGATATAACCTCCTCGCTCTTATACTCCAGTACCCAGGCAATATCCTGAAAGCCTTGTTTAACCTACCCTGCACCTTCAGTAACCACAAGGTACCTCTAGCCTTCTCCGGATCCTCATGTGGAATTATAACAACCTGAGACTGACTGAAGAAGCTCTATCTCCATCCTACCTGACAACCCTCTCCGGGGCAGGTTCCTTTTGTAATCCACAGGCCCATAGCCCCCTGGAGGCGGTAAGTCCTGCTTCACCTTCAGGGTCGCCATCTTCCTGGAACACCTTCCGGCGAGTGACCGGAAATCCCGCCTGCTCCGCTCTGACTGGCTCTTGCGACCAGCAAACTGTCAATTATCCTGCAACTAACTCTTAAAAGTGGACGGTTGTTCCTTTTCTTTTATTTAATCCAGGTATTCTCAATCTCTTTGCTATTTATTGCATTTCACTTAATGCAGCATTTGATTTTTAGAAAGTCTCTCCAGAGAATCTGCAACCAAATAATTCTGCAGACAAAAATAAATGCCAACTTATTATAAAGTTAGAATAAAACAAGGACTGCAGATACTAGATACCTGAAACAAACGAAAACAGATGATCCCCAGCATGGAGGGGACTGTCTTAAGGGCAAAAGTTGCAAGAATGAGCAGGGAACTCATTGAAATATGTAGAATTCTTAAGGGGCTTGATCCGGTTAAATGCTGTAAGGATGTTTCTCCTCATGGGAGAGTCGAGGACCAGAGGGCATAGTCTCAGAATAAAGGTGTGGGAATTTAAGAATGATATGAGGAGGAATTTCTTCTTGGAGAGGGTTGAGAGTCTTTGGAACTCTTTGCCATAGAGAGCTGTGGGGGTGGAGTCCTTGTGCATATTTAAGGCTGAGATGGATAGATTCTTGAATACAGAACAGAAATTGCTGGAAAATCTCAGCAGATCTGGCAGTATCTGTGGAGAGAAATCAGATTTTTGATTAGTCGGGGTATCAAGGGTTACAGGGAAAGGGCAAGAAAGTGGAACATGAGGAATGCTGGATCAGCCATGATCGTATTGAATGGCGGAGAAAGCTCGAAGGGCCAACATGCTCACTTCTATTCCTATTTCCTATAGCCTTATGGTGTTATGAAAAGTTGCTGGAGAAACTCAGCAGGTTTGGCAGCACCTGTGGAGAGAAAACAAAGTTTGCATTTCAAGTCAATCGACCTTTCTTCAGACCCTTCTAATAAAGTTGTTAGTTTTTGGATTTTTATCTCTTGAGTGTACAGTGCTGTTTAATTTCTCTTATATACCCAGGAAATGTGAACATTATTGGCAAAGGCAACATTTATTGCCCATCCCCAATTGTCCTTGGGTAGGTAGTGATGACTTTTTGAACTACTGAATCCATGTGGTATATATACTGCTAGAGTGCAGTCAATAAGGGAGTTCAAGGATTTTGGTGCAGGGACAGTAAAGGAACACTGATAACATTCAAAGTTAGGATAGCATGTTGACTTGGTGGGGAATTTGCAGGTGATGATGTTCACGAGCTTCTACTGCCCTTGTTCTTCTAGGTGTTAGAGATCCCATATCTGCAACATCCTTTCGAAGGAGACTTAGTGAGTTGCTGCAATGAATCTTGTATTTCGTTTATTTTGATGCCTTGGTGGTGAAGGGAGTGAATACTGACGCTGTGAGCTGATATTCCAATCAAGTGAGCTTTTTTTAAATCCTGGACGTTGCAGAAAATCTTGAGTGCAGGTAAGTGGAGAGCACTGTTGACTTGCTCTTTGTAGATGGTGGATTGGCCCTGGATACAGCAGGTGCATTACTTGCTGCCAAATTTCCAACAACAGAACTAACATTCTATTTGAAAATTGCAATTATTTCTGGATATAGACAAAAATAGTTACTGGTTGCCACAACAGTCCAAAGCAAATGCAGTAGTGTTACAAATTAAGTACAAGGGACTGTAATTGGAGCATGAATTGATTGGAATATAAGAATGTGACTTGGCCATTCAGTCAACTGAGCCTATTCCACCATTCAGTTAGATCATGGATCATCATCTATCACAATGCCACTTTCCACCATTATCTCCATATTCCCTGATGTGATTAATCTCCAGAAATCTATCTACTCCTGTCTTGAACAAATTCAGTGATTAAACTTCCACAGGTCTGTGGGGTAAAGAATTCCAAAGATTCCACACCCTCCTCATCTCAATATTAAATTGCTAAATCGGTATTCTGAGATTATATCAGAGATAGTAGGAACTGCAGATGCTGGAGAATCCGAGACAACAAGGTGTAGAGACAAGGTGCAGGGCTGGATGAACACAGCAGGCCAAGCAGCATCATAGGAGCAGAGAGGCTGACGTTTCGGGCCTAGACCCTGAGATTATATCCTCTGGTTTTAGAGTCACCAGTCAGGGAAAATGTTCCATTGACATCCACCCCGTAAAAATATTTGTAAGTTTCATTCTTCTAAATATGGGAGCGAATAAAAATAAAAGCTTCGTAGGGACTTGCTTCTCTCAATAAACGTTATTTATTCCCGGTTGCAAGGTGTTCAGCTCTTCCAGCTTCCACACATCCTGCAAGCTCCACCCCCAACACTTCAGGCCCCACCCCCTTCACCACCCCTCAACCCCGCCCCGTCCCAAGGACCACCCCTTTCCCGGTACCGCCCCCTTCCCAGGACCCGCCCCCTTCCCAGGACTATCCCTCTCACACTTGCGCCCTCATCACGCCAAGCTCCGCCTCTTCACACGGACCCCGCCCTCTCCCTCGAGGGCTCGCCCACGCCTGGCATATCCCCTCGCCCATTGCACATCCTTAAAGCCCCACCCACTCCATGAGGACCAACCCCGAAAGCCCCGCCGCCCGCCCGCGATGCCACGCCCACTCACGGGGCCCCGCCCAATTCCCGGCCCCTCCGCTCACGCCAGGCTCTGACTCCTCGGTCTAACGCCCGCCCAGTCGCTGCAGGCCCCGCCCCACACTGTGCCCCGCCTCCTCAGGCTCCGCCCTAACGCGGCTGGTTTCCCCCCCTTCGCCAGGATACACCCCACCCTTCCAGACTCCACCCCTCAAACTACGCCCCACCCAATGTGGCCTCACACCCCACACCTAGGCCCCGCCCCAGTTCTCGGGCCGGCGCTCGCTGCCTCCCGCGATGTTTGTGGCGGATGCGGGTAAGATGGCGGCGGTTGGCGCTAGCGGCCCTCAGCAGCAGCAGCCGCCGCAGCCCCAAGCACAGCCGCCGGCTCAGACGCAACCCCAGCAACAGCAGCCGCCGCCCCAGTACACGGACGCCTGGTACCTGGCGCTGCTGGGCTTCGCCGAGAACTTCCGTACGGCCAGCCCGCCCAAGATCAAGCTGTGTGTGCACTGCCTGCAGGCCGTCTTCCACTTCAAGCCGACGCAGCGCATCGAGGCCCGCACCCATCTCCAGCTCGGCAGCGTCCTCTATCATCACACGAAGAACACCGAACAAGCCCGCTCCCATCTGGAAAAGGCGGTGAGATTAGAGTGGGGCTGAGGGTCTGGGCCGCTGTCTGAAATCGGTGTTGGGGGGGGTGGTTTGCGGTGGGAAACAGAAGCTTTACGATCGGAGCCATAATCTGAGACAGGGGGGTATAAATAATCCAAGTAATATAAACATTCCCCTCCTGTGCTGTATTAGGCATCCCTTGGGTATCAACAGCAAAGCGACCGAGTGGGGGGAGAGGGGATTTCTCTTGATACAAAAGTTCATGAAAACTCGGATAAAAGAAGATCCCAACACGAAAATCCGTATCGATCAATTCGTACAATGCAGTAGTAGATGTGGCAGTGAGCAGATGAAAGGGTTCGTCGTGGTGGAACCAACAAAACGCACTGGAAGCAAAGCAGATTAAGTAGAATCTGCAAAGTCTTTGTCATCGAAGGGCAGTCACCCCTGTTATGTAGGCAAATAACACGGAAACGGTAACGCCGTTGGAGGGTGAATGTCGATTGGGACACTGAAAATAATTGTTATATCGACACATCAAAAAGAAAACCAATGATGGGAATTCTGATAAGAATTTTTTTTAAAAAGTTGTCACCTGGAGAGACAGTAGATTCATCTTACAGTTCAGTTGGAGATCTGTTATCCCTTAAACTTTATCTCGATTTTACCCTTTGCTGGTTTTTATTTTAATATTAGTGCAAAATGTGTCTGCAGTGGTTTAAAAAAAGGCAGAGTCGAGATATGATGCAAATCAGGTTGTCATTGTTCAGATAAGGCTGATTGTTTCTTGTTAAACAGACTCCATGTGCTTAGGCATGTTTGTATCTATTTTCGAACACTTCAAGCATTTCAACAGAAATTTTAATATCTATTTGTACATGACTGTTCAGTCAGGATTAGAAAACCGATTCATATATTTGTATGAACACAAGACAAGGCCATTCAGACTATCATGCCAAATTGAGACTATCCAGTTATTCCCATCAGGAACAAAAACAGAAGTTGTTGGAAATGATCAGTAGGTCTGGCAGCATCTGTGAAGAAAAAGTCAAAGTTAACGTTTCGGATCCGGTGACCCTTCCTCAGAACAAGTTAACTCTGATTCTTTCTTCACAGATGCTGCCAGACCTGGTGAGCATTTCCAGCAACTTCTGTTTTTGTTCCTGATTTACAGCATCTGCAGTCCTTTCGGTTTGTTCTTCAGTTAGTCCCACTGCCCTGTGCTCAAAGGTTGGAATATAAATAGAAATTGCAGGAATAGATTCTGCAACCTATTTATTGCAGCAAGATAAAGAAAGTGAGGCAATCAAGAACAAAAGAGTAAGAACCAGGAAGTAAACTATTTGTGTTATGACGGAAGAGAAAAGGCTAGCAGTACTTGCAAAGTCAAGCTAATCATAGTACCTCACCTAGGATTTTTAATATTGATTCTTGCTTTTTTTACTTATTTATGGGATGTAGGCTTTGCTCACAAGGCCAAATTTATGTCCATCCCTAGGTTCCCTTAGGAAGGTGGTGATAGGCAGTCTACTTAAAAATCTACAATCCATTTAATGAGTGTGCTTGCAAGTGGTATAGATTGAGAATTCCAGGATCTTAAACAAGGAAGGAATGATGCTGTAGTCCCAAATCAGGAATGTGGAACTTCTAAATGGTGGTGTTTCCATGGGCCAGGTGCCCTTGTTCTTCGAGGTGAAAGTGGTTTGGGTAGTGACATTGAAGGAGCATTTGTGAGTTGCTGCAGTTTGTCTTGTGGATGGTTCACATTTATGATTTGGTTATGGTGGTGTGGTTGGTACTGGATAGTGTCAGACCTTTTGACAGTTGTTGGAATGGCACTCATCCAGACAAATAGAGCATACAGAGTCAGTTATACAGCACGGAAACAGATCCTTTGATGCAACTGATCGGCCCTGACTAAATATCCAAAACTGATCCAGTCCCATTTGCCAGCTTTGGCCCATATCCTTCTAAACCCTTCCCACTTGTGTACCCATCCAGATGCATTTTAAATATTGTAATTGTACCCACCTCCACTTCCTTCTCTGGCAGCTCATTCCATACACTGTGTGAAAATGTTGGCCCTCAGATCCCTTTTAAATCTTTCCTCTCTCACTTTAAACCAATGCCTTCTAGTTTTGGATTGCCCTATTCTGGGAAAGCAATCTTGGCTATTCACCCTTTCCTTGCCCTTCATGATTTTATAAACCTCTATAAGGTTACCCCTTAGCCTCCAGTACTGCAGAGGAAAAAACCCTGGTATATTCAGCCTCTCCCCATAGCTCAAACCATCCAATCCTGGTAACATTCATGTAAATCTTTTCTGAACCCGCTCAAGTTGAACAATATCTTTCCTATAGCAGGGAGACCGTCACAATGATGCACTTCTGAGTGTGTCAAGCACAAAATATGTTCTGAATGTCACAATGTGCTTTTTCATGGTATACTTGCTACCAACTCCTTGATCATTTTTGAAAGTTTTCTGTTTATTTAATTACAAGTTTTGTTTTTCTACATTGGTCTCTAAATCAGTGCAGGGCTCAAATTAAAGACCACTTACAAGAAAAAGCTTGGTTCAATATTGATTTGCATTTAACTTTTTTCATTTAACCTATTTTTCTAATCACCTTGTCCAGAGATGTTACTACACACCTCTGTAAATGCTTCATTCACAATCTAAGTTAACCTGAGATACTGTCATGTTTCAGATCCTAATGTACTTTTCAAAATAGGTGTTTATTATGCTGTGTCCAGCATTCCATCATGTGGACTTCACTGGCTGGACAGTATTTATTGCCCAGCCCTAATTGCCCTCAAGAACATGGTGGTGAGTGGCATTCCTGATTGTTGCAGTCTATTTGCTGTAGGTACACCCACAAAGATGTTAGGTGGGGAGTTCCAGAAATTTGATACAGTGACAGTGAAAGAACTGTAATATATTTCCAAGTCAGGATGGTGAGTGGCTTGGAGGGGAACTTCCCATGTATCTGCTGTCCTTCTCCTTTCTGATGAAGGTGGTCTTGAGTTTGGAAGATGGTGTCTAACTGTCTGATTAGCCTTGGTGATTTCTGCAGCGCTTCTTGTAGATAGTACATACTGCTGCTACTGAGCATCAATGCCGGAAGGAGAGAGTGGCACCACATCCACAGACAGTCGAGTGGGCTGCTTTGGCCTGGATGGTGTCAAGCTTCTTGACTTTGTTGAAGCTGGATTCATCCAGGTAGCTGGGGTGTATTCCATTACACTCCTGAATTTGCCTTGTAATTGGTGGACACATTTTGGGGAGTCATGGGGTGAGTTACTTGCTGCAGGATTCCTAACTATCAGCTTGCTCTTGTAGCCACAGTTTTTAAATATTAGTCTAGTTCTGTTTCTGGTTAATGGTAACAACCAGGATATTGATTTCAAGCAAATTAACATAATGGAGTACTTTGAAACATTTCACTTCAGTGCGAAGGTGTTATAGAAATGTAAATTTTGTTTCTAATGCTTCACTAAAACTGCATGTTCATCATTCTGCGACTGTATTTTGCCAAATTATGACAGAGCTTCATCACAATCAAAGTTATGAAGCTGGTGATGTGAAATATTTTCCTAGTCCTAACCAATACCAGGCACAACTGAGGCAAACATGACTTTTTTTAAAGTACAGCAAAAGGGATGAAAGCTGGATGGAAGAGTTGAAAGATAGCAGAGATAAACAATGAGCGTGCAGATCAGGACCTATATCAATAAATGCCATTTTACATTGAATGGAAAAACCAACAATGGAATGTGATTCCGATGTTGGAGAGAGGTCTGAGTGGTGATTGAAAAGAAACTTGAAGATATACTGTCCCTAAAAAGGATGAACTATGTATTTTCTTCATTTCTGCTGTTTACCTCATAGTATTCCCTATTGTTTGATACAGTCAGTGGGATGTGGTTCTAAAACAGCAACAACTTTCCAATACTACATCTCTGTACATCAGCAGTGATATTACGCTAATTGACACTGATGGAGTCAGAATAGAGGAGCAGATCCCAAATAATAACTCCCCTGGTGGAAATACATGAATGGGTATTTCCTTCAGTAAACAATCTGGAGTGGGCACCCTGGCTGATCTATTTTCCTCCCCCTTATTATAGGGCAGTGAGATTACTTGCTTGTTGAGGTTGAGATTTCAGATCAGGAACTGATTCTTAGCTGAACAGCTCAGTGTTAGACTATGCAATACACTTACTTGTTAAGGCAATGGACTGGGATTTTTAATTTAACCTCCTTGTGTTTCAATGATGAGCCTATGTTTTGGTGTGACCAGAGCCCCTTTCGTATTCTCATCAGCAATATGTAATTTGAGTTTAGTTTCTATTTGTGGTTATGAGCCTGTGCTGCTTTCAGTTTACAGTTTGTGGTTTAAATGTTCAGATGTAAAGTTGGTGTAATGAACAGTACACAACTTTCTTTGGCTGTTGATGGATGTTGCAAAGATGCTGGTTACATTGATGTATTGCAGTATTTTTGTGACAGGTGGAAGAATGGTCTATCACTATGCATATGTGTGTGGTATGCACTTTCAGAAGTGATAAATAAATGTCTGTTACCTGGCAATTACCTCTTTATGTCAAGTCCCCATGTCTGTATCACACATGGTAGAATGGTGTCACCCAGTTACAATTCAGACACTAGGAGTTCAATATACTTTTTCAAATTTTTGTGTAAGTTTTGTCTTGCATAAGGAATGATGTTTGACAACTAATAAATTTCAAAGTTTTCTTTGCTAAAATTGCAATAGCCAAAGCAGGTACAATGTCTTATATGTCTTATAATTACTACGCTGGTTTAAAACCAACGTGTTGCCTGCTCCCTAGCTGCTTTTAGATTTGCTATGACTATTTTTGATATCTCCTGGGAGACAACCTTTTCAAGCGAAATATGAAGCGATTTGCAGACTCTACCTTCGTTCCTAGACAAGTATTTTTTAAAATAATTGATTTGCACTCCAGATGTGGTGTTTCTGGAAAAAAATACAGCTGTGTTGCTCTTGAACTGCTGCAGTCCTTGTGTTGATGGTACTCCTACACATAGCAAATTCTAATATGTTGATCCAGTGACAAAGAAGGAATGGCATCCTAGTCAAGATTCCCTCTTCAGCCAACACCAGATAGTTTATCATTCATCTACTGATGTTCTTGTGATCATGCTTGTGAGAGATTGATATCATGTCAGCAAACTAACAGCAGTTGTACCATTTGAGAGCTGAAATTGTGCAGGTGGTTAGAGAAGCCAACAGTTCCTTCATGCTGCAGATTTCCATTAGAGTGAATGAGCTTGTTAGGCATTGACCTAACTGGGGCATCCAATTTTAAAGCTAATTATTAAAAACATATCGAATAAAACAGAAAAAACTGAAAATACATTCTGATCTTCGGTTTTAACTGAATGTCCACTTCTCTTAATGCTTGTTATGTATTTTATTTCTCTATACCCTTATGTACCTACCAACGTTTTCAGCAATTCTATTTTAGTTTTTGAATGAGAAGGTATTGTATTATCTAGAATTCAACACAGGAATAATTTAAGGCTTTTGATCCTGAGTAAGTGTACAGTAGTGATCTTGTTACTTGTGTTAGGTAATAGATGAAGTGCTCACTCCATGACTTTGCCCAGCTCCATTTTGAGATCTCTGCACTTCACCATTGCTGGTCTCGTTTTGCATCCCAATTTTAATCATTTACAAGTGTTACAGTGCAGGAGGAGGCCAATGTGCCATTACGTCTTCACTAGCTCTCCAAATGTGTGTCAAGACTTAATGCCATTCTTCTGCCTTTTTCCTGTACCTTTGCACATTGATTATTTAAATAGAAACAATGCCACTTAAGCTTCAATTAAATCAATTAGATTGGTGGCCATGTAGCCCTGAATTCTCTACCTCTCTCCTCTTGAAGACATAACTTAAAAACTAAACCTTTAACCAAGACTTTGACCACCTGTGCTGATGTCTCTCTGTGGGTCCATGTCGAATTTTATTTAATACTCAAGGGGGACACTTTAGGAATTTTTACTGTACTAAAGGCACTATATAAATGTAATTTGTTTAATCTGTATTCATTACTGTACACCTGATTTGGTATTAGATTTTGAAGGCCCTGTGGACAGAGCGAAACTATATGTTCATTTCAGGTTTGCTCAAATTGTGAGCAAAGGTTAACTAGGTTGGGACTCTGCTTATTGGAATTTAGAAGAATGAGAGGTGGTCTCTTGAAATATAAAGGCTTCTTAAGGGACTTGACAGGGTAAATGCTGAGAGGATAGTTCCCCTCATGGAAAGTTTAGGACCAGAGTGCACAGTCTCAGAATTAAGACTGAATTGCGGAGGGAGTTCTTCTCTGAGGGTTAAGAGCTTTTGGAACTCCTTGCCACAGAGAGCTGTGGGGGCAGAGGTTTTATGTATACCTAATGCTGAGATTGATTGATTCTTGATCAGTTGGGCACTCAAGGGTTAGGGGAAAGGGCAGGGAAGTGGACGTGAGGAATGACGGAGCGGCAAGATCCTGTTGAATGGTGGAACAGGCTTGATGGGCCAAACAGCCTACTTGTGTTCCTATTTCTTGTGGTCACAGAGAGGCTGTTTGACCCATTATGTTTGTTCTTGTTCTGTACTAAAGCAGTATGCCTAATCTCACTCATATCTTTTTCCAGTAGCCCTGCAATTTTTTGTCTACAAATACTTATCCGGTTCAGCTTTGAAGGTTTTAATTGAATCTGTCTTGACCGCACTGTCAGACAGTGCGTTCCAGAGCCTAGCTGCAGAACAGAAGATACCAAGAACTGCAGATGCTGGAGCCAGAGTCAGCATAGTTCTGTAGTTCTGAAGAAAGGTCCTGACCCAAAACATTGACTTTCCTACTCCTCTACTGCCTGACCTGCATTCCTCCAGCTCCACACTGTGTTGACTCTAACTGCAGAACAATTTTTTTCTCTCATGCCACCATACATCTTTTGTCACCCATACAAAATTGGTTCCCTCTGGTTTGTCAGTCCTTCCGATAAAGTAAACAGTCTTGGTTCTGCCCAGATCTCTCATAATTTTTAAAACCAATGGCAAAAAACTTAAATCCTCTCCTCCAAGGGGAAGAGATCCAGGTGTTTCCATTTCTGTGTAACTTATCTCTGCAGCCATCCTTGCATATGCTTCCTGAACTGTCTGTAGTTCTATCATCCTTCATTAAGTAACACAGTAATCCAGTGGAGGCCAAACCAGTGTTTTATAAAGTTGTATTGTAACAGCCTTTGTTTTGTACTGTAATCATGTTTATAAAGGCCAGATCCTTCTGCTTTATGAAGCATTTTCTCAACTGTACCATATATCCTCAGAACCTTCTGCTCCTATATTCTTTTTAGAACTGTATCCTTTACATTGTCATTCTTTTTCATTTTTTCTTACCAAAATTAATTACTTCAATTTATGTGCTGTGGCAACCTCAGTAAAATTAAACCTGTTGCTGTAGAGGGCAACACCTAATCAAGCACTTGGACTCTGAGTTCACCACTTCCATTTATACTGGTCAATGAAATTTGTGACTTTTCATTGTACTGAGCCCAGCCCGCTTCTAGAATTATTATGGAATTGGATTTCAGTAACTTTATGGATAAAATTTTCCTGATCCTGACAACTCTTGGAGTAAAACCTTTTCTCCTTATCTCTGTTTTGGATTTTTTGCCAATGATTTTAAGTGTTTGATGTCTAGTTATTGACCCACTCAACAGGAATGTTATATTTGTCTATTTAATCTGTCAAAGCTTAACATCTTCAAAACATTGAATCACACCTTGACCTTGATGAGAATCATCCTAACTGTTCCAACCTCTGCTTGTATTTGAAGCTCATCCCTGTTAACACCCCACAAGAAAACTGTAATGTCCAGAATTTCTAGCTGACGGGTCAAGTTGAAACAGTGGTAATTGTTCTAGTGTGCAGTGTCCGTTAGAAACTGAGATGAAGGGTGTCAACAAGGCTGTGAAAGAATCTAAAGTCCAAATGGCAAGTCCCAGGATCTAAAGTTTTAAATAAGGAGATAAGTTGGGAAATAATGATTCCGGAGTAACAAGGTTAGATTTTTAAATTGATGTCGATGATGGAAAGTTGCATTTATTAGAAGAGAGATGATTTAAGGTGAATAGAATTATTTTTGGAGGTGGGTTTGGTACTCATGATTTTAACTCTGTTTAACATAATAAGTGTGACTAATTGACTTTTTTTCCATTTTCTTTCAGTGGTTAATATCCCAACAAGTATCCTTTTATTCGTAAACACAAAGTACATGTCAGCAGCTACCAGCAAATTCCAGCAGTTTGTATGAAGAGGAAAATTCTTTCATTATGATCTCCTGTTTTGCTTTCTCGCTAATCAACTGTTGATATTTTCTAAACTTGATGATTAACAGGTAGTGTAAGTTACACAATGCAGTGTGATCCCCCAGCTTGCAACATCTGCATTCTATTTACTTCTAACCAAGCTTACTTTCCATCATAAAGATCGCTTATGTCCACCTCTGTAACATTGCTCATCTCTGCTCTCCCTTAGTTAATCTACTGCTAAAATTCTTGTTGCTACCTTTGTCTCTAGCACCAGTAATTACAATGCTTTTTTGGCCTCTCTCACATATGATTTGCTTTGATTCATTGTAGTCACACGTACTGAAGTACAGGTAGATCTCCTATGGTGCAATAGTTGCATTCTTGTGTGACCTTGCGCTATATAAAATTGCCATCGGAAATCATGTTATAGGGAAATCGCAACAGAAAATCGCTATACCTATACAGCTGAAAGTTTGCGTTATTCAAACAGTGTCCACTATTCATCAATTGCATTACAGCCAATTTTCGTTAATGAAACACGTGTTATAGTAGAATTACCCGTACAGTGAAAAGCTTTGTTTTGCGAGCAGTACAGGCAGATCTTAGCAAGCAAGGACATACAGATCATAGGGTGCTTAGACAGAACGAGGTATACTGGTTACAGCTGCACACAAGATGCACAAAGCAAGATCAACATGGTTTGAAGTTAGAGAGGTCCATTCAGCATTCTAATAATAGCAGGGAAGAAGCTGTTCTTGAACTGTTGAACAGTTTCTGTATCTTCTGCCTGACAGAAGAGGTTGGAAGAGAGCATTACTGGAGTGTGGATTATGTTGGCAGCCTTTCCACAGCAATGAGAAGTGTACCCTCCATAAATGTCATCTCATCCAAACCGGGCTGTCTAGTAGATCACGTTCACCCATCGTCCATCTTCGCAGACTTAACATTGACACTCAGTTCCCCAACGCCTTCAATTTGAAACTTGCACCATCCGGTATAAACCCTTTCACTGTGTCATCTGTCCCAATCTCTATAACCTCCAACTGTACAAGAATTTTCTCCGCTCCTCCACAACTCTTCCTCTGACACTGTCAAACAGCCTCCCGTATCCTCTTCAATTCACGAACTTGTCCTCAGTTACCTAAGTCTCATGGTCTGGAATTCCTTCTCTAAATGACTCATTCTTTGCACCTTCTTACCATTCTTTAAAATGATCCTTCAAACCAAACTCTTCAATCAAACTCTTGGTGATTTCTCCTTTTAACTTGGCAGTTTACTGGAGCCTCCAGCCAGCAGGTCCCATTTTTCCACTGCGGCCACCCTGCAGGCCTTGTACTACTGGATTGGACAGCTGGAGTGTGGTAATTGGGCATTCAACTTCTACTGAGGCAAATTGTAATGCCTCAAATCTGTTCGTTTCAGACAGCAATACTGGAGGCATCAATCGAAGAAGCAATTGATGAATCTGACAAATGGAAGTAAGCTGGATTACTTCTAGCTAGTGGTCACTGCCCTTTTGTGGTGTTTAAAATTTCTTACTTGGTTGTTCCTAACAGTTGGACAGCAATCTGCTGAATTGTTAAAATGTGAATGATGCTCTTTCTTGGAAATTGCGCAAGTCAGATTTTTTTAAAAAAAGATACCTCCTGGGAATGTTGTATTGTTCTTGCATTTGTTCTTACTGTTTTTGCCCTTTCAGTTAAAGATACGATCTTTTTGGAGTAGTGAAGAGAGGGATTAGCATTGCTATGTGTTCCAACTGTTAACAAATGGTTAGCCCTTGACCTGAACGTATTAGATTCCACAGTTTGAAGATATCAAATTTGAAGCAGCCAGTCTTTTGTCAGAGTTATATTGCCACCAGGTAAGATTTTTGTTTTTCATTAAAGTTGATGAAATCAATTCACTTTCAATTTCCTACAGTGTCTATTGCAGGGATAATGTACATTTCTCAGCACTTTATAAGGACTGCAAGCCTAATCAGATGTACGATCTGAATCAAATAAAATGCAGTTTACAATTTGAGATGGTGCTGACAGGGTAGAATTCAATGGATAGAGTTGGAAAGTGGATATCCTGTTTTGTGTGTCTTGTTACTGGTGATGATAATTGTTTGCTTTTTAGGAAAATATCATTTTTTGCACTTGGATGTAATCAAAGCCAATCAAAGAATTTTTGAAAACTGTAATATTAACCTTTAACATTTTTTTAAAAAGTATAAAATTCAGAATGCTGTACTGAAGTTCAAGTCTCTAATGAATGTGGATATGTGTTGGAGGACTGGCCAGTAGACAACATAGTGTGCATTTTCAGGAGGGGTTGGGGTGTGGAGCTAATGCAGCAAATTATAGGTGAGTTATCTGAACCTCTGGTAGGCAAGATTTTGGCATCTTTGAAGTCACTGTGTGTGCTGATTTAAAAGGAAGTTAGGTGAAACTTTCCAATATGGATTTCAAAAGGCTGAACTATACTTGACAAACCTCATCAAATTTGAAATGGTAACAGATTTGCTAAATGAGGAGGGAAATGCAGTAGATATATGTGCAAGGACTTTATCAGGCCTTATCGGGAGATTACTAGAGAAGATTATGGATCTTTTTGAAATTGGGGGTGACAAGGAGGATTGAAATTTGGTTAGAGGAGGGCAAAGTTGAGGGTATCTTTGAGTAGCTGGACAGTGAAAGGTGGGGTTGCTGGTGGTGGGGATCAATTTGAAAGTAAGATTTACGCTGAGAGTTCAGTTACAGGAGCTATTTCGGTTCATTGTTTGTATCAGTGATTTTGTTTCTGTACCTAAGTAGCCAACTGTGGAAATTTACAGCTGGTAACTAAATAAGAAACAGAGTTAATGCTTTAGGAGACCAAAAAAAATCTAAGGACTAGAGCTAAAATGAAATACTGTAGATTAAAAAGTGGCAAGTGGAATGTAACATCCCTAAGTGTGTGATGATACATTTTGGTTAAAAATGATGGTATTGTTGATACTTAAAATGGTTTGGAGTGGTAGAGGAACAGATGAATTTGAGGATACTGGTTCACAGAATATTAAAGATAGCTCCTTTGTTTACAAAGCCTGTAGGAAAAAAAGATTTAAAAAACAAACGAAATTCTAGGTTTTATTGCAAGAGGAGACATAGAATTTGAAGGCCAAGTGATAAATGATCCTATCTTAAATGTTAAGGAGAGCTCAGTTAGAGCATTCTGAGAGGTATTGGACTGAAGGATATTCTGACTTTAAAGAGGATACAACATGGACTTGCTGGAATTCCGTTTGGCTTGAGAAAATACAAACATTGTTGAAAGTTGGAAAAAAAAGGTTTTCCTTCATAAGAATGCCACAGATTCCAGGATAGCATGATAGAGTTCAAAATTATGGAAAGATGGGACAGTGTATTCAGAGCAGGCTGTTTTCATTCTTGGAGCGATGTAGGATTAAATAGATAGTTACAAGCTTAAATATGAGGTGTAGAAAAAGATTGTGAGGTTAACGGATCATTGAGGCAAAAATAAAACTGTTCAAGTTTAGGTGGGTTAGCTAGGTTAAAGAAAAGGTGAAGAAATATTGGGAGAAGATGAGTGAATGTGTTTAAAGATATTTCTTCATATGTAGGATAAATACATAGACAAGTGATTAGGCCTAATGGTCTCTCTCCCTTTTGTGGCTTAGTTGTGTGTGTTTTGCAGTAGAAAGCTATTTAGAAATCACTTAGGCGTAGCAACTGCTTAATGTGTGTTACACACTTCCAGTGCTGTAATAATTTTAGACCATTCCTCCTGCTATCATTCAGGCATTTACTGTCTATTTTAAATCTACCCTGCTGGTCTATCTGTACCTGCAGTGTGTAGTATCTCATACATTTGCCACATCATAAGTCGTCATATCCTTTCTATAGTGTGAAAGCCAGGATTACGCAGAATACGTAGACTGAGACTTTCTTGAGCTTCTAGATAGCATCTATTAGCTTTTGGTGCATTCTGGATCACCCCTATTGGGCCAACTTTGATTACAAATCTCATCTCTATCTGCTGATCTGATCCTGATTTCAAAATTGCAGTGAAATTTGGGACTGAAGTCAAAGACAAAAGGGAGAGTTGCTATTTAAATATCAGTGCTGGCAGAGTGGAACATTTTCCAACATGCTGTTTTTGGGCTCCTCCTCTAGTTCTTCAAACTGGGAGTTGGTTGATTTAAATCCCAGAACAGAGATTTTCTATTTTTGGAGCTTATTTTTAGTACTTTGGGTCAACAGAAGTTCTGCACACATTCTAGCAAAGGGATTAATTAAGGTGAAAGAAAAGTGAAGGATGGCAGCATGCCTATAACCTGTTGTTTAAACACTATGATATTTAAACCGAAATTCCCTCCTGCATTTATCCCTCTGGCAGTGGATTTAAAATCATGCAACAGCCCAGCAAGATCAGTACTGAAAGGGGAAATTTTAAATCGGTAGTGAGCCAGGGCTGAAGTAGAGAGTGGAGCATTAATGCTTTAGGAGCAGAGTAATAATTAATGGAATTGAAAAGAAGGACAGAGAAATTATATTCATGAGCACAGTCTGACAGGATTTGCATGGAAATGTCAGTATGCTGATCCTTCTCTTTCATGATTTTACTTTGAGGTAGAATTTGATCCAAAGAATTGATCAATCTTTTGCAATAGATGCCTTATATCTGTGACTTTATATGGTAGATTAAAACCCAGAGCCAATAGTCAAAGCCACTGCCAGAGCTGAAAAGAAGATGAGATGAAGCAAGAACTAATAGCCAGTAGCAAGTGCTATGGTTTCACAGGTTAGAGGATCCAGGAAAGAACAAGGTAGAATGGGAAACAATATAGTGAGCAGAGATATTAACAGAATGAGGGAAGTAGGCAATGTATTTGATGTATGAAAACATCTGTAGCTTGAGTATAGAGCAGTTGATAAAGTAGGCAATGGTCGCAACTGACAGGGGTTGACACCTAGAAACAAGACCAGTAGAAAGCTCTGAAACTGAACTAAAGAAAATCTATAGTTCGAAGCTTGCTACTTCAATGACAAGCTATGTTGTACAGTAAATGCTGTTTGATCTGGTATTTTATGAGCCATCGCTCAATAAAGCGCAAAAATTATATACCGAATTAACGTAATTTTACTGTATTATTGAGATCACTGCCATGTTTCAGTTGTCAGTTGAGGGTGCGAGTGAGAAGGCTCTCTCCCTATAAGTTTTATTTTAGGCAATATTGCATTATTATTTAAGTGATTTGTGCTGTAAATAAAGTATAAGAGTGATGTGTATAGCCCCACATTACATTTCTATTACTTAGTGTGTGTTTTTACATTGATTATGTGGACTATTTGATCAACCGGTACACTTCTGGTCCCATTGGTGCTGGTTAATAAAAAATTTGCTGTAGTTGTGTGTTGTAAATAGTTGATCAATTTCACCTCTGGCTATGTGGCTGCTTTATGTATCTGCGAGATTGGACTCTACCTTTTTCCTTATCAGTTTGAAGTAATGATGCTTTGTTGCCTGTTTAGAATCTGGTTGATTCAGCAAAGCCACTTTTACGGAAGGCAATACAGATCTCCCAGCAGACACCTTACTGGCATTGTCGACTGCTCTTTCAGCTTGCAGTATGTACCTTTTAGTTTCTTATATGTAATAGAGTTTAGCAAAAAATGTTTAGCATTAGAGCTTAAGAAATGTCGAACCTTGGATGTTTTTTCACAAGGAAGGAAAGGGATGAAATCAAAACACACAGTTTGATATTTGTACCACTTTGTTACAGATGCTCATTTTTAAAACTTGATCAATAGGCTTTGGTTCACTTTCCACTCTCCTTTCCCACTTCCTGTCTTCCTAAAGGAGAAAACCATTACATTTACACAGTGCTTTTCACAAACTTAGGACTATCTTATTATTACATGACTCAACAGGCTAGATACAGGAAGGGTGTTTACCCTCCTTGCAGTGGTCTAGAGCCAGGGGGTCAGTTTTGGAATAAAGGATAGGGCAACCTAACATTTCCCATGGCTAACACATCTAACCTGCACATCCCTGAACACCATATGTAATTTAGCATGGCCAAACCACTTAACTTGCACATCTTTGGACTGTGGGAGGAAACTGCAGCACCTGGAGGAAACCCATACATATACAGGGAGAACGCGCAAATTCCACACAGACAGTCGCCTGAGGGTGGAATTGAACCTGGATCCCTGATGCTGTCAGGCAACAGTGCTAACCACTGAGCCACCATGCCACCCTCACTAATTTTTGTCCCTAATTGTCTTTGAGAAGGTGGTGGTAAGCGACCACCTCCAATACAGCTGAGTGGCTTGCTGAGCTATTTCAGAGGTAGTTTAGAGTCAACCACATTGCTATGGATCTGGAGTCACAAATAGGCCAAACTAGGTAAGAAAGCAGCTTTCCTTATGAAGGGGCATTAATGACCCAGATGCATTTTCGTGATCTGTTAGTTTCACGGTCACCATGATGATACAAGCTTTTTATTCCACACTTATCTAGTTAATTGAATTTAATTTCAAGCTGCTGTGGGATTTTAACTCTGTTCTGGTCATTAGTCCAGTAACACAGCCACTGCTACCATAATCCCCAGTTAGTGATGTTTGTTGATGAATAAATACTAGCCAGAATACCATGAGGACTGCTCTGCTATACTTTAGTGCTGTAGGATCTTCAACATCTGCTTGAGACAACAGATCGGATCTCAGTTTCATGGATCATCCAAAACACTAAGCACTATCACTATTGCTATCTGGCTGAGATCAACCAATTTAATTCGGACTGAATTTTTCTGGTTCTCCTTTATTGATTGAGCTGGAGGTGAAGCTGTAGTTGCAGTTCCTATAGTTTTAGCCATGCCTTTTTATAGACTAGGACTAATAAATTATGTTCAAGCGAGATTAAGATGACTGATTAGGAGGTGTTCCTTTGATTTCAAAGGTGAAGCGTTATATCAATAAAAAAAAAATCACCTCAGCAACGTGGAGTAGTTTTGCAAACGTCCAGAAGTAGGCCAGTTTTTGTATTAAAAACAGAGTTCCACTTCTTGTATTAAAGAGAGTTCTATAAGGTTTTGGAGTAGATCTTTAGCTCGGGTTGTGGGTGTTGAGGTTGGTTGGCTCGCCGAGCTGGTTTGTTGTTCCGCAGACGTTTTGTTACCATGCTTGGTAACATCCTCAGTGCAGCCTCTGGTGAAGTGTTGGTGTGTTTTCCCGCCTGGTTTTTAAACTCTGGGGTCCGTTGCGATGGATTGCCTCACTTCTGGGTTTCCTCCGTAGTGGAATGTATATGGGGTCGAGTTCGATGTGTTTATTAATAGCCTGCCTCGTGGAGTGCCATGCTTCCAGGAATTCTCATGCTTGTCTCTGCCTAGCCTGTCCCAGGATCTTGGTGTTGTCCCAGTCGAAGTCGTGGTTCTCCTTGTCCATGTGGATTGAGATGAGTGACCCCAGAGTTTAAAAACCAGGCGGGAAAACCACACCGACGCTTCATCACAGGCTGCACTGAGGATGTTACCAAGCACGGTAACGAAACGTCTGCGAAACAACAAACCAGCTTGGCGAGCCAACCAACCTCAACACAGAGTTCTATAAATGCCTATCTCAGTCTCATAAAACATGTTTCAGATTATGGGAGTGCCACAGTTGACCTCAGTGTTTCCAAAAACAGTGAGTAGAAGTCACCAATAGTCACCAATATTCTCCAGTAGTTCACGGGTGGACTATTTGTTGTATGGATGAGATGCCCACACAACAGATTGACCACTGGAATAAGGTACCAGAAGTAAGTTGGCACCTGTGCAGCTTTAGCTCAGCTCTAGATGTCCTGTGCAATTAAGGTGGGGGGTGCATAAGTGAAAAGGAATGTCGCAGCCAGGAAGTCTGTCTGTTCAGTGTCTCGCAGGCAGTTCACCAAGTTAATGTGTAGATTTTCACAGCTGCTGAGTTCCGAACATATGAGGGCTGATCTCAATCATACATGTTGCATTTCTGAATATTAAAGTGAATATAAGATGATTTTGGAAAAAATTCTTTATCTCTTGTTTTGTTTCCCTGCCCACCAGCAACTGCACACACTAGAAAAAGATTTGGTTTCAGCATGCGACCTCCTAGGAGTTGGAGCCGAATATGCAAGGGTAGTAGGATCAGAATATACAAGGTAACAACAAAACCTCTGGATTAAGAGCTGTGTCACTGCTGTTCCCACAGATGAGGAAAAAATAAACCAAAACTCCAATTTTCTGGATTTCTGCAGGAATATCTCCCTCAAATCTCCCTCAATAACTTCAATTCGCCCTTCAGACTTAAATGTAAATTTCTGTAAAGGCATGGGCAATTCTTTATCTTTCAGTCCCATTTATGACAATGGGAGGATGAAATTTCCACATTTTAACATTTGGCTTTCCATGGTTAAGTATAACCAAAAGTTGCAGACATGTCGGAAAGTACTGGGTTTAGTACCTGGGTTGTGTTGAGTTTGCTGATTACCTTGGCCCCTGTCTGAAATCATCTAACCTGTTTCAGAAGGTGTGAGATTTTTGATGTAGATGCAACAAGAAGACACTTAGTGAATACCTCAGATTATAAATTCTCATTGATGCAAAGCATTCCATGGCCTCAAACCTGTCTTTCTAGAAATTGGTCCAGCTCTTAATCATTTTTGGGTGGTATTCGAAAGATGAAATAACCCCAAGAAATCATTTCTTGAGTTTGAATAATGCCCTATGACCTGTTAAAGCTGTCTCCAGCAATGCAACCCTCTCTCAGTTCTATACTGGTATCACCAAAGGGAAAAGAAAGCATTTGAGTATTAATTTTGAACTGTTAATAGTTTGGTCTTTTATTAAGGAATATACTTTTGTTCCTCTTGTTTTTGAAAGAGGCGTATTTTTAATCATAAAGGTTTGTATTTTCACAAAGCCTTTCATGGTCATAGTGCTATTGTGCTTTATAACCATTGAACTACTCTTGAAGTGAAGGTGAGAAGTACAGCTGCCAAACTGCATTTAGGAATCTCCCATAAGTAGCAAGGTGACAGGCATTTATTTTTTGAATGTTTGAGGGTTAATTATTGGCTCAGAACGCTGGTGAGAATTTTCTGCTCTTTAAAATAGCCCTGAGGTATCTTTTATTCACATGAGAGGATCACAGGCCCTCAGTTTAATGTCTTGCCTATATGGTGGCATCTCCGTATAGGCCATGCTGAGCCCTGCACGTAAAAGTTTGCCTGGAATTTGCACTCAAGACTCTAGACTGGCAAACTAGAGTGGCAGAAGCTACTTTAACTGTCTGGATATCTTAAGAAATGTCTTTGTCATTTACATAAAGTGAGTTTCATTACTGTTATTTAATTAAGTTCATAAATGTAAACTTATCTCTCTTATCTTGCAGAGCACTCTTCCTCTTAAGCAAAGGCATGGTAAGCTTTTTTCCCAATTTAGTTAAATTAGCTTGCAAGCATTGTGCAGAATTTACACTCTAATCTGCAGCTAGTTTATTACTGTATAAATGGCCTGCTTCCCCACTATAGGGATTTTATGATTAGACTCTATGATCCTATGGTTGGGTAATTGACATAAGAAATGTTAGGGGATCTTTTATTTCTGGTATAAAATACCCCTTGGAGCTCTTTCCATGTTGATTGGAAGGGAAGTCTATAAAAATCCAGCATTTGCTGTTGTCTTCAGTAGTTTAAAAAGTGACAAAACAAAGTGATCGCAGTAACCAGGTGGATTATGAAATCTACGGTGAATTTGACTTTCAAAAGCGAGTAGTTGAGGCCTATAAAGCAGGACTGCCCTCTCCATGTTTTCAGTTTCCCACTATATAGTTACTTAGTCAATTTCATTCGAGTTGATTCAACAGTCAGCCAACTGAAATTAGAAAGATGGATCTCCACAAATGCTGCCAGACCTACTGAACATCTCCATACACTTTGTTGTTTTTAGGTCTCTGGCATCTGCAGTATTTTGCTTCTGTGATTGAGTTGGTCCAAATGGGTCGCACTAACGAACATTTATCAGTGTTACCTAATCATAGAATCCCTACCCATTCAGGGAAGCAGGCCATTCAGCCACGCTGACCCTCCAAAGAGCAACCACCCCCTACTCTGGCCCCGTAACCCTACATTCCCCATGGGCAATTCACCTAGCCTGTGCATCCCTAGACATTATAGGCAATTTAGCCTGGCCAATCCACCTAACCTGCACATCTTTGGACTGTGGGACGAAACCCACGCAGACACAGGGAGAATGTGCAAAATCCACACAGACAGTCGCCCGAGGGTGGAGTTGAACCTGGGTCGCTCACGCTGTGAGGCAGTAGTGCTAACCACTGAGCCACCTAGAGAATGTATTTGAATAATTCGGATCCAGATCTGACCTAGTTCTTTTACCGATGGAAAACCATTCATGCAGTCCTTACCAACAATGTGTTCCCTGCTGGCAGTCACAGCCCCATGTGTGACTGATGGCCACCAGGGTGAGAGAGTGGAATGCCCCACAGGGGACTGTAAAGTTTTAACTGCAATAGAGTAAATACTTCTGGAAGAGAAAAATGAGCGGAGCCGACTAGCAAAGAAGGGAAACTTTTTTGAAAAATATATAACTTTTAGTATGGCACTGAAATGTCAACCAACATGTGTTGTTCAGTCACCTGTTTTTAATTCCTTCATGGGAGGTAGGCTTAGCATTTACTGTTGATCCCTAATTGAACTTGAGAAGGTTCTGGTTTTGTCTGCCTTGAACTATTGCAATCCATTTAGTGTAGCTGGACTCTCAGTGCTGGTTGGGGTGTTGGGGACACTGTGTTCCAGGGCTTTGATCAGCGACACTGAAGGAGCAGTGATATATTTTCAAGTCAGGATGGTATGTGAGTTGAAGGGGAACTTGCAGGTGGTTGTGTTCCATGTATCTGCTGCCCTTGCCCTTCTAGGTAGGAGTGGTCATGGGTTTCCTAACTCGAACATTGTTGAACCAGTGGAACTGAGTTTACACACTTCAACTTTCCAGACTGTTTTTAAACCTCCGTCTCCTCCTCCAAAAAAAATCACATTTAAAACATTTTGGGATATTGCATAGCATTGCTTTTTTGGAAATAGTTTTAGTGTTAGTATGTTACCATAGACGGTAGATGGTAATGCTAGTGATGATCATTACCAGTCAACAGTTAAGTAACCCATCCATCAGTAGACAGTGTTAAACCTTTAATCTGGATAAACTTCCAGAGGAGTGGAATGAGTCCATGGGTAGAGGAAATGCTATCAAGAGGGGCAGAAGCTAATTTTTCTTTATCTCCACATCCTGCAAGGGGCAAAGTAACTGAAAAAGCACCCAGACAGAACTCAAGGTTTGTGCCCCTACTTTGTGGAAGGGTTTGGGGAACAACACAGGAGCTCAATAATTATTGATTGATTGTGATTGTTTATCTGTTGGTTTGAGTTTAGCTGTGAGTTTTAATGTTGGTGTATTCTCCCTGTTGGCTTCCAGCTATTGTTGATGGAACGGAAGCTACAGGAAGTTCACCCTCTCCTGACTCTGTGTGGCCAGATTGTGGAGAACTGGCAGGGTAACCCTATTCAGAAGGAGTCACTACGTGTCTTTTTCCTGGTGCTACAAGTCACACACTATCTGGATGCCGGACAGGTGAGCAAATAAATGTTGTCAAAAATTTCTAGCACGAAGATTGGGTGGCAGCAGCACAAGGGGGATGGACAGATACATCAGTATTTCTGCATAAATCAGCCTGAGAGAGAGAGAAATTAGAGAAAGAAGGTTGTGAAGTTGGGATTAAAACCTGAATCCTGCTCTTCATTCTGTAAAAGTAATGAGTGTTGGTTCAGGCTTGAAAATTAAGTCTATACATTAGACTGGGTTCAGTACTGCCCTTTGCAGAATGATGTGATTTGTGAAGTGCTGCTGGTTGGATCAGAAGAAAGGCTGGGGATCTTTCCTATAATGTGATCTAATTGGGGTCTTTAAAATCATGAAGGGATTTGATATGGCAGTTGTAGAGAAAATGTTGCGCTTGTGGGGAGACTACAGAACCAGGGTCAGAAGGGTTCTTGTGCCATGGTAATGCCCCTACCTCTGGGCGAAGAGGTCCAGGTTTAAGTTCAACCTCCTCCAGAGGTGTGTGTTAACATCTCTGAACAGGTTAATTTTAAAAAAAAATTAGGGTCACAAATATAAAATAGTCATTACTAAATAGAGAATTCAGAAGACACTTCTTTACCAGTGAGTGGTAAGAATTTGGAACTCCTTGCTACATGTAGCAGTTTAGGTAAAAAACATAGATATGTTTTAGAGGGAATTAAAACATATGAGGGAGTAAAGAATAGAAGGGTATGCTGAAAGGTTGAGTTGAGAATAGGGGGGGAGGCTTATGTGGATCATAAAGGATCAGTTCTGTGCTGTAAATTATACACAAGTTTTCTTGAGAGCAGAAACGGTTCAGAGGTTATCCAGAACACACATTCAAGATTCTGAAAGATAACAAGAGGTTAAATAATGGATTTGCACTGACTAACAATATAACAGGAAGAGGCCACAACTAGTTGCAAAGACAATAAAAATGGAGGTTAGGTTTCTTTTAAAAGTTATGTGAGGATAAGATGAATAATGAACATTCTGTCACAAATTATTATTACATTTGATGTTTAAGTCTGAATGAATCATGTATGCCCTACCAAAGAGCATCCCAGTACAGCCGATGAAGTACTTTTGGAAGTGCAGGTACTAATGTAATGCAGGCCTGCCAACCAATTTGCTGTCAAAGTTCAAATAAGGAGCAATGTGATAATGACAATATCATGTTCTTTTGATGTCATTGGTTGATGAATGAATATTAACCAGTATGGCAGGGGGAGCACAGATGCTTTGTTTGAATATCGAGATGGAATCTCTTAACATCCAAATGAGAGAGCTGTTGGGACTTCAGTTTAACATCCCTACTGAAAGATGGCACATTCGACAGTATAGTGCACTCTCCAGTACTGCATTGAGAGTGTCAACACATATTATGAACTTCTGTTCCTGAACTCCTAACATTCTGACTGAGAAACAGGAGTCAGAAAACTGTGAAAGTAAGTCCAAGTGTAATTGCTTCAGTAAATATCTGCCTGAATATGCACCCAATCATATAGTAGCTTTAGCAAATGTGAATGTACATTCTTTTGAAAAAGAAAACAACCAGTGAATGATGGAATAATCTGTGATATTCTTGAAGGTAAAAAGCGTGAAGCCCTGTCTGAAACAGCTGCAGCAATGTATTCAAACCATCTCTACGCTGCATGATGACGAGATTCTGCCCACTAACCCTGCAGACCTCTTCCACTGGCTACCAAAGGAGCATATGTGTGTGTTGGTTTATCTGGTGAGTAAGAGTTATATTTTTTTTAATTCCTGTGTTACACACCTAAAGGAAACCATGATGCTGTTACTTAAAAAATGCTAAATGTCCAACCTGAGAGACTGTTTCATTTGTTCAATTTGTTTTTAACATATTCAACAATTTTAGCTGATAACCTCTGCTTCCTTTTCATTTTGTTTCCTGATTTCAGTTACTCTTCCATTGTTTCTCTGCTATTTTTATCAGTTTGATTTGGATCACTACTGGTTTGAATGCTGCCATTGATACCTCCTTCTGGCACGTTTTTTGTTTTTACTTGTCTCATTACCATTCCCAATGGCTATGCTCATGAACACTTTTGTTCATTTTCTTTTAAAAAAAAGTTCTTCTTTCATGAGGTGGTGTATCTCTGGCAAGGCTAACATTTGTTGCTTGTCCCTTTGAATTGAGTGACTTATTTGGCCATTGCAGAGGGCGGTTAAGAGTCAAATACACATTTCTATGGGTCAGGGATCACATGTAGGTCAGACTAGGTAAGGATGGCAGATTTCCTTCCCTAAATGACATTACTGAACCAGATGAGTTCTTACAATAATTGATGATGGTTGTCTTGGTCACCATCACTGAGACTAGCTTAATCTTCCGGTCAGATTAAGTGAATTTAAATTCAGCCAGCTGCGTGGTTGGGTTTGATCCCACATTCCCAGAGGATTAGCTTGGATTTCTGGATTAAAAGTACAGTGACATTATCACCACACCTCCACTTCTACTGCCCTTCAGTGTATCGCAGACCTCTTGTCCTTCCTGACATTCCCCTTTCAGTTGCTCAAAAACTTTTGCATTTCTACCTTCTCCCAGTTCTAATGTAAGGTTATACATCTGAAACATTAAGTCTGTTTCTGGCTCCATTGATCTTGCCATACCTGTTAAGTATTTGTGGCAGTTTCTGTTTTGCATTGTATAAATGCAAATCTTTATTTGAGCAAACAACAACTCTGCAGCATCATTTGGTTAGTGAAAGCACTACTTCGAGCAACTGATCTACTCTGAGCAGGTTCCAAATCCAATTTGTGCTGCTGAGGCTTGATGATATCTCTGAGTTGCCCAAAGTTAGACAAGGAAGAAGCTCACCCAGAAATCCCACTTCTGGCTACTATTCAGTGATTGAGGAATGGATCGAAATTTATGAACCTGTTTCCTGTTTATTTTGAATAAGCCAGTGATAATATGCTGACTTGCACATACCCGAAAAACAGCTTGCTTTGTGCCTTTACCAAGGCGCTTCACAGAAAGATAATCAGACAAGGATGGAATGGCTTCTTGAACATTGAGTCACTGCAGCATGTGTAAGCACTTGACCTCATTAAAATGAGGGTGATATCATAATCAAAGGAATAAGTTCCCACTTTTGGTCTGCACTATCTCAAGGAACCACAGTTCAGAAGGAGTGTAAGCGCTCCTCTGCTCCTCTCAATAAGCTAAACACTCTTCAACCATCTACACCCTCCCTGCCCTATGGTGGTTTAACAGTAGGTTTCAACTGCAACAGCTTATCAAGTCTCCAGTTTCCATCCTTGCACCAGCTGTCCAAGTAAGATTGTCAACTTATGCCAATTATCATCCTTTTATTTTTAAATGACATCCTGTTTGCACTTCGTTGATCAATGAAGGGTGCAGGAGGCCATGCCACGAGCAGCATCAGGCATATTTAAAAATGGGGTGTTGACCTAGTAAAGCTACTACATAGGACTATTTACGTGCTAGACAGTAGAACAGGACTAAGTGATCTTGTAACCAATAGATCAGATCTAAGCTCTGTGGTCCTGCCACATTCATTTGTGAATGGGGATGGGCAATTAAACAAGGAGGAGGAGGAGCTGGCTGAACAATTGTGCATCTCCTCATTGATAGAGAGTCATAGAATCCATGCAGTGTGGAAGCAGGCCATTTGGCCTATCGAGAAGTACAGCATATCTGTGCAAAAGTCCAGGCTGAAACATTTGTGTCTGTCCTCAGCCAGAAATGTACAGTGGGTGATCCATCACAGCCTCATCCCGTGGTCCCCAACATCACAGATGCCAGTCTTCAACCAATTTAATTCACTATGTGACAATAAGAAATGGCTGAAGGCAATGGATACTGCAAAGGTTATGGGTCTGGCAGCATTCCAGCGATAAGACTGAAGACTTGTGCTCCAGAAATAGCCATGCCCTTGCTGTGCTGTTCCAGTACAGCTGCAACATTGCCATCTTCCTAGCAATGCGTGATTCACTGGAACACTGCAGCATGCTGAGGACAGACATGGGCATGCAAGCAGGAAGCTATATTAAAATGACCGGCTACAGGAAGATTAGGGTCCTGCTTGCACAAAGTGATCACCCAGTTTGCGTTTGGTTTCTCCAATGTAGAGTAAGCCACGTTGGGTGCAACAAATACAATAAACAAGATTGGAGGAGGTACAGGTGAAATGCTGCTTCACCTGGAAAGACTGTTTAGGCCCTTGGATGGTGAGCAGGGAGGAGGTGAAGGGGCAGGTGTTGCACCTTCTGCGGTTACACGGGAAGGTGCTGTGGGAAGGGATGTGGTATTAGCAGTCGAGGAATGGACTAGAGTGTCCCAGAAAGAACGATCCCTGTGAAATGCATTTTGGGGAGTGAGGGGAAGGTGTGTTTAGTGGTGATCTGCTGGTGTTGTCTGAAATGGCAGAGAGTGATCAGAAGCTAGTGGGATGAAAAATGCGGATAATGGGGACCCGTTCACGCTGTTGTGAGTGATTGGAAGGGGGCAAGGGCGGAAGAATGGGTGATAGTTTAGATGCAGTTGAGGATCCTGTCAACCACAGTGGGTGGGAAACCATGGTCATGGAAGAAGCAAGCCATGTCAGCAGTGCTGTTTTGGAAGGTGGCATCATCCAAACAGATATGACATAGGCAAAGGAATGGGAGAATGGGATGGAGTCCTTGCAGGACGTTGGATGTGACGAGCTGTAGTGAAGGTAGCTAAGGGAGTCAGTGGCTTTGTAGTGGATGGCAGTGGACAGTTTATTCCCTGAAATGGAGACAGAGAGGTCAAGGAAAAAAAGGGAAGTGTCAGAAATGGACAATGTGAAAGTTATAGAGGAATGGAAATTGGAGGCAAATGAACAAATTTTTCAAAGTCCTGGCAGGACCATGAAGCAGCACTGAAGTAGTCATCAATGTACTGAGAAAAGAGTTGTGGGAGGTGGCCAGTTAAAACTGGAAGAAGGATCATTCCACATAGCCAATAAAGAGGCAGGTG